TAAAGGTTACCCACGGTAACCGAAACGTCGGCTTATTTTCACCTGTACCGTATATATTTACCACCGGCTTGAAAACAAGCATGGTGCCAACGCAACAACAATGACAGTGAAGGGGATAGGTGAATACATCATTTGTTTAAAGTTAGAATGCTTTGTGACTATGATCTTGCACCTCTTATAAAACCAAGTAGAGAAAGTTTGCCAAAAGCTCTCATAGTACAAACTATTGCCAAGCCAAAGTGAAACATTTATTACGAGAGTCACTTACAAGTTTCTGCTTCCAGTGGTCCATAAGTTATCTATACAGTTTAATGTTTTCTTGATGAAAAATGAGACATTTCAAATATTTACGGATTCAAAGATATGTCGCGATGTAGCTGTTATCTAGGCTGTGGCGTTTTTGACCGAATAAAATATTACTACAAACGGTAATATAAACAGAAGCCAACAGATTCATCTGCGACGATCCGTCCCCTAGCTATATAATGTTCAGTAGAAAAACAAACTACAATACAGAATGAGAAAAACAATCACATTCCAGCTACATGATCGGATGTCACTCACACTGAGGTCAACACACATAAGCACTGATTCTGGCCCTTAGAGGTGGGTGGGGAATAACTGTATTGTGTGTAGTGATGGCCGAAATACTTTGGTGAGAAAAGGTGGGAGGAGGCTAATGTAGGCGGCTTCTCTTCGTTTTCGCTGTTGTCAAAATGCAGCTCCTAATCCCCTTAGATAGACGACTGTGAACCAGTGTAGCACTCCGTTTAAAAGATTCAACAAATGGTGCAGAAACGACGTGAGGTGGGAGAGTGTTTTGAGCGATGCTGTTTCGGATGAGAAATTTTTGAAGTATCAACAAATTTTCCCGAGGTGAATGCTGGGCAACAACGTGAGTCACGGCCCATCTGGATGATTTGGATTCTGTAATGATTGATAAAATCCAGTCTCTTCGAATTCAGCGTTACTGAGTGCAATATAATCCCCGTGAATGTCAATCTCCCACATAGATCAGGGAGTGTAATACCATGAACATCATGGTGAATATTCGTTGTGGACGTTCTAAGAATTTCACAATCAGATGACATTCATGAATCCCAGGCCTGGATATCATGCACTGTGAGGGGTTCAGTGCACATTGAAAGCAGTTTTGGGAACGGCGTTGATTCGAATCGGCTGAAGGTAGTTGCGAACGAAGTCTAGAAGCAACCGATCGAACAATCATGCTCCTCTCATTTGAGACACGCGGTGGTTGTTGAGTTCCGAGAATCTATCATTGTGGTTTGGGCATAAGGCTTTTCAGTAAGGAAAACTGAACTCAATATCGTCATCAACAGACCATTAACAAGCTGTTTTTAAGTGCTTTGTCGAGTGCTAGGGAGGTTTCGGTACTATGAGCCAGATTTCGGCGCTGTCTACCAACAGTTTTGTTCATGACCCTAAAACATGCATCAAACCATTTATGACCCAGAACAGAATATCCTTATGGAACCCCGCAGGTAACGCTGATATAAACGGACAGGGAATCAGAAACACGAACTGGCTTGGTCCGTGGTTCGGAAACGCTTCAATATAATAGGGACCGAGACCTCGAATGCCGCGACAGAAAACTTCATTTCAAATTGGCAGTAGGCCGATAGTACGGGATCACTGGAACCCATGTCGACGTGGTAAAAGAAGTTGATATCTTTCTAAGTATTGCATGAAGGAATTGGCCATGATTGACTATACGAATCTGAATAACACGGCAAGCAGAGTAACCGGTTGCTTGTTAGCAGAGTCCCTACGACAAAGGCGAAGTGTGTATATGTGTGATAACACCGGTTCCCCGATTGTGAAGGATTTATAGTTGTCTATCCGTTGAAGTAGAACGGCTAGTAGTTCAGATATATGACTGATCGAACAGATACTGGTGTGTGTGTGTGTACGTGCACTGTCCGTGGTTAGGGACGATACATTTTCGAAGAGTCTGGAAGCACGACCGTTTTTATCAACGAGTTGGCTAAACACCTTCTCAAGTACTTACTAACAACTAGAATCCAACCGAC